CTGCAGGGGGGTGAGCGGCTGCAGTTCGAGCAGGGCGGAGGCGGCGGTATGCAGGGCGCACAGAAGCTGTGGATTGTGAAGGTCCTGAGGTGGTGAAGAGGCAGTGGGGCCGAAACGGGGTTTGGGGTTGAGCGCCCTCCCATGCTTGCCGCTTGAGGCTGCTGGCAGGCGCAAACAGACGCCACGGCACCAGCGTAGGCACGCTGGTCGCGATTCAGCATAAGCTGCTGCACGAGCTGCCAGCTGCGTGTTTTTGTTGCAACCAGGCAGCCTGCGCCGCGGCTCAGCACCCCCCGCTCCACATACTCCGCCCACCCGGTGCACGAGGGCGAGGATGCTGCTGACAACAGGGCTGCGCTGGAGGGCGTCCAGGAGCGCCAGAACCTGAAATTGCAGCATGTACGTGGCATAAAATGCCTCAACTTGGAATGTGCAGGGGATTGAGATGCTCAGCAGGCTTAGAAGCAGCTCAAATTGCCTCCAGAGCCGCATGTAGCCCGCGCTGCACAAACAGACGGCACGGACCAACAAGCCAAGCTGGAGCAGAGGCGCCGTTGGCGCACGGCGCGAAAGGGCGCACCTGTGCCGCGGGATGCCGCAGCAGCAGTGCACTGAGGGAGTCTATGACCAGGCACAAGGGCTCGGGCGCCTGCCGCCCCGCGAGCTCGGCCAGCTGCCGCAGCCCAGACGATTGCCAGGGGCCGCGCTGCCCGTCGGCACGATGCAGGCTGTCTGATGAAGTGGAGGTGCCTGGCTCCCCTCTGTCCTCGCTGACGTCCCCGCACTCTTCTGGTCCTGATAGCCACCCGCAGGGATCCGAAAAGAGGTCAATGACAGCGGCCGCGCCAGCCGCTGCGAGCTCAGCCGGCGGCCGGTCAGCAGCGACGCCGTGCAGGGCGCGGCCCTGGCCGCGGCCTTCTGATATCGCGGCGGCGAGCATCCTGGAACTCTGCGGTGGCCACGGGGCGTCAACATCCAGCTTTGGAAGCGTGCTGTTGGCGTAACTATGCAACGTCTGCCCCCGCGAGCAGCAGCAGCGCAGCGTGCACGGCATGGCCACGGCGCGGACCTCCAAGAGTACTGCACTTGCACCCAGTGTAGATAGATCGTCCATCACTAGCACTAGGGCCGCAGGGGCGTCAGGAACTGCCCTTCCATCCCTGAGCACTCGAACGGCTGCCTCCATGACACAGCGCGGAACGTGATGGTATCATACACAGATGCAACTGCTGTTTGAAGGTTCCGTTTGATCGGAGCTCTAGATCCTCTTTCATCAATGTGATTCATAACGGCACCAGGAGTGATCTTGACGATCTGGCGACACTTGGCTAGCTTTCAAGGCTCATATCATAGCGTAGCAAACATCAGATACTGAGCTGATGTGCAGCTTGATAACGGATCCGTGGAGGCTGTGAGCAGTTCCCAGAAACGGTCGATGCGTCTGGCACACATGGCGCCGCACGCAGGGCACGCAGGTGCTGACGGTGGCAGTGCTTCTCTGCTGCTGCTATGTACCACGATAACGCAGTGCATCAGCGTGCGCATATATGACATCTTGTGGCTTGAAGGCAACACCGCATGGCCATTTAAACCTGATTTGGCGGTTGACGCTGTGTTTGCGCTTTGTCATGCGCCCTCCCCTCACCGCTGCCCGCCAGACCGCGAGCCGCTGCTGCAGCAGGGCAGCAGCGGCAGCGGCGCAGCGCGCTGGCGCGCGGCAACGCACAATGCGCTGGCGGTGAAGCGGCTGGCCGGCATGGTGCACGCTGCGGGTGTGCTGCCCGGACATGACGTGAAGCGGGATGACGGGGAGTACGCACACATGTGAGCCGATTATTGACGCATGCAAGGTGGCTGCCTTTGCATGGAGTTCTGCTTGAAGGAAACTGGGTTGGGCGGGCAGTGCAAGCGCAACGCGGCCGCAGCATTGAGACAGCTGGGCTTTCTGAAGCGCGCATCCAGGGGAGATGCAGCTTGCGCTCTGCCGTAGCGGCGCCTGGCTATGCGCATCGCCGCGGCTCCTCGCAAGCCCCCTACCGCGCGTGTGCGCCCCGCAGCTATGCCCACGTCAAGGCGCGGGCGCGCATTTCCCTGGTGGACTACTGCAAGTAGGCAGCGCCAGCAGCGCAGGGGGTGCCAAACCCCTGCAGCGCACTTCTGTTGCATGCAGCCAGCAGGCAGTCACCAGCGCGGCTGCGCCCCTTGGGCATGGTGTTGCACGTGTGTTCCTGACGGGGCACATCATTCCCTGCTGGTCGCAGCACTGCAGCCGCACGCTTCGCAGCCAACACGCTCGTGCTCGCGCCCGTTGCCCCATCATTTGCGTGGGCAGGGAGAAGGTGGAGGTTGTTGGGGGCCTCTCTAACAGTGACCTGCCGGCTCTGCTGGAGCGGCCACGGCCTCAGTGGGCCAAGGTATGGCGTTGACGCAATGGCAGGGTATGGCCCCCGCGGCTGGATTGTGCCGACAAGCCACGTCGATGTTTGGCAGGAAAGCCTCACGCGCAGGCGCACATGCACGCCCGACTGCCCCACCCAAGCTGGGGCTTCTGCCGCTGATTTATTCTGCCCTGCAGGTGCGGTGGATCAACATCCAGGGGCTGTCCTGGGAGGTTGTATCTCAGCTGGCTCGCAGGTGAGGGTTGGCCTCGAGCGCACTATCATGGCCTCCGAGACTCCATCTCACCATGGAACTGGGTTTAGGTGCGGGACGTAAGGCTGACCCTTGGGGCGAGGTGATGCCGTCATGGTGCCATATGCGCCACAAAATGTCACATGATTTACACATGGGCAGATGCATGCTTGATGTCGCTCCCACATGCAAAAAATCGCTGTTGCGCCGATGCAGGTTTGACCTGCACCCCCTGGCAGTGGAGGACGTGATGCACATCCCACAGCGCATCAAGGTGTGGAGGGGGGGTTGGGGGGCGATTGTGCAGGTCAAAGGGTGGGGATTGGCTGTTGCGGCAGCGCAGCGAGCCCCCTTGCGCAGGGCCTACATGCCGTCACCTGATGACGAGACAAAGCAGCCATAAGTGCGCGAGCGCCGTTAACAAGTGCGTCAACGGCGCCGGCGCCCAACACGGCAACACAACACTCAACCATGCCGCTTGCTCCCTGCCACCAAAACTTTCATGCCTTGCCCACCATATTCCCCCTCAAAGGCGGACTTTTACGAGCACCACCTCTTCATATCAATGGCCCGCTTCTCAATCAAGTGCCCCTCCAGCATTGGCGACGCCAGCAGCCGCCCCAGCGGCGCTGGCGGCCACGTTGCCAGCCCCAGCTTTGGCCACGGCAGCAGCACAATCCTGATAGACACGGGCGGCGACAACGGCGACAACGGCGACGTTGACGGGAGAGGCCGCGGCTTTGTGGCCGCCCGCGGCGGACCGGCCACCGGTGCCGACCGCAATCTGCACCCCTCCCGGTCGCTGGGGCTGCGGACGGACGTGCTGCAGCAGCCGTCGCGGGGGCAGGGGGCCGGAGAGCGGCGGCGGTGGCTGAGCGGCCGCGCGCTGCGCGGTCGCGGGGGCCGGGGGCGAGAGCCGGCGGGGGCGGTGCTGCCCATGGAGCTTTCAGTCGAGCAGGTGGGGCCCCTGCACCACCTCCAGAACCACTCGCGCTGAAGGCATTCGGTGGGGCAGCTGGGTTGCGCTGTCGAGCGCACGCCGCCCTCGCCCCGCAAAGCTTGCCCTTCATGGTCAGCACCACCTACCGTATGATGCGCTCCTGAGCGTCTCATGCGCAGCGCCGCCTCGTTTCGCCGTGGCCGCCCCGCACCATCGTGCCGCCAGGTGTCCATGTTCCTGCTGCGGGACGGCACCCTCATAAGCCTCTTCCACGGCAACGCCGACGACATGTGCGACCCAATAGTGGAGCGCCTGCAGGTGCGCACCCCCACGGCTTCCGGCCGGTAGCCCCTCCGGCAACAACGCCCTGACCGCAGCCCCGGCCGCTCGACCCCCACCTGCCTCCCCTTTGTATCGCAAGTGGCAGCGGGATCGCCTGGCCCGCACGCGCTCATGAACACTTTGACTCCCCTGACCTGCCGACCGTGCCGACACCCACGCACCGCTGCGCCCAACCCCCAGGGCCTCAAGACGCTGCTGACAGACTCCGAGGACGCATCCTTCCTGGCCAATGTGCTGATCGACCAGATCGTGGACGGCACACTGCCGATGGTGCAGGTCTACGCGCGACGCATCGCGGCGCTCGAGGTGCGCGCGGGGGCCGGCGCCCGCCGCTCCCGGCGCCGCGGGGCAGGGGCGGGCGAGGTGGCGCAGTGCGCGTGCAGAACTGCGGGGGGCGTGCCTCTCAGTCGCAGATCTCTGTGTCTTTGGATCCTGCCGTTGGGTTCTGATTGCCTGGCATCTTGGAGCCATACTGCCTCACTCGCGCAGTTCACAGTGACAGGCGGTGGTGTCGACACGCCGTGCGCGCCACGCGCTGCGTTGTATGCGCCCTTTCATTCGAGTGTCCAAACGCTGCCCTTGCGGCTGTCCCTCTGCCCCCACCAACAGAACAGCGTCCTGACGGATGCTCGCCCCAGGGCAGAGTACACTAAGGAGCTGCATCTTCTGTCTAACGACTGCACATGTGCGTGCACGCGCGCAAGAGAGAGCGAGAGAGAGAGAGAGAGAGAGAGAGAGAGAGTGTGTGTGTGTGTGTGTGTGTGTGTGTGCGCGCGCAAACGCGCGCGCGTGCGTACACGCTCGCACAGGATGACAGGGTGAACAAAGGAAGGATCGCCAAGGCAACGCGACTGCGAATCCCATCGGGCGTGCAATGCCCGGGTCCAGGTGCCTTTGCCTGCATGATCCCTGGTGCCTTGCATGGTTTTAGAGCATTCTGCCCTATTTCAAGCTTCGCTTGTCCGTTGCCCCCTGAGCCAGTCTGATTGACCTCTCATCTCTGCACGCGTCGCAGCCCTGCGGCGTGCGCTGGTGCCAGCTCAGCAGCTCATCAACAAGCTCCAGTCGAGCGAGACCATCGCGGTGACGGACGGCGCCGGCGGCCACGGGGAGCTGCTGTCGCCCCTCACGCGGGTCTACCTGGCGGATGTGCTGGACCACGTTGACACGGTGGGGTGGGGGCTGCTGAAAATTGAGGGTGCGGGGACGCGTATGCGGTGATTACGCGCAGACTGTGTCGGGTCACAGAATACTGAGCAGGTTGGGTGTTGGAAGAGTGCGGGCGCGCGTTATCTGGTGCAGTTTGCACATGAATCAAGGGCGGCACGGCCGCGATGGTTGTGAGTAGGGTCATGCAGTGGGTACAGGATGCACATGGGTTGAAATGAGCTGCGAAACATGTGTGTGCGGGCCTGGTCGCTCGCCTGCCTCAAGGCGGGCCTTGCTTGCGGGCGGCCCCCTGCATGCAACAACCGCTTCCGTGTAGCACGCACTGCACCGACGCATCTCTTCCGATCTATCCTCAACCCTCAACCACAATCCTAGCTGGTGGAGGACATGGAGTCGCTCGCGCTGCAGGTGCGATCGTCTATAGCCCATTCCCTGGGATTCAGACAGAGGCAGGTTGGGTGGCCATCTGTGCCGGAGCTGCGCTTTGGCACTGGTTCCTGGGTACGCTCAACGTTGTCAGCCTCCTGCTTTTTGTCCCTTGACACTCCCACCTATTAGCCCACTGTGCACCGCAGCACACCTCCCCGCCCCCCACATACACACACCCACACACACACAAGCGCGCACGCACACAAACACACACACACACACACACACACACACACACACACACACACACACACACACACACACACACACACACACACACACACA